GAGACAGGAATATCCATAGGCAAAAATTCAGAACAATTGGGACAAATATAATATATTATAATTTCATTAGGTACAGGAAATTTTTTCAAAAATAAATATTTAGATTCCATGACGGAACAAGGTAAATGGCAATTTATTAATTGCAACAAATGATCAATACTTTTGTCCTCTAAATCCCATCTGATAATAAAGCTCATTATGAGAGCTGCACTTCATTAGTTAAACGGCAGCCTTTATAAAGAAGAGGATCTCGTTCATCCTATAACAAATAATATTATAAATAGCTACGTATATAAGCAAATTAAATAATTTATTGTTATCTGACACCCGCGATTTGTGAACACTATCATATTGGTTTCCATACTTAATACAACCTTGATCAAAAAGTTCCCGGAATTCATTGAGAAAATTCAAAATACAAGTTTATTCATCAAAAGTGATATTGTCCTCTTCAAAGTACTCCCCATCGACTGCAACGCACTTATATACCAGCGCTTGATCCAGCTCTCGAAACATTTCTGGAACTCTATTGTCGGTATAGCCATCAGAGCCGTCTTTGATTTTTCCATTACCTCCTTTCGGCTGTTAAAACGCGTAGTGGTTTTTTGACTCGATCGAACAGAAAAAAATCGCAGGGAGCCATATCAGGTAAATTTTTCTGTTCGATGGAGTCAAAAAACTACTACGGGGAACGCGTTTTAACAGCCGAAAGGAGGTAATGGAAAAATCGAAGACGGCTCTAATGGCTATACCGACAATAGAGTTCCAGAAATGTTTCGAAAGCTGGATCAAGCGCTGGCGTTGCAGTCGATGGAGAGTACTTTGAAGGAGACAATATCACTTTTGATGAATAAACTTGTATTTTGAATTTTCTGAATGAATTCCGAGAACTTTTTGATCAAGGTGGTATTCTTAATATGTCACTTGGCGGAAATTATAAACACAACTTTAATACGGTGCAGACCGAGCGATTTTTTGATTGCTTCCTTTATACTAACTTTATAGTATGATCTCTGTTCAGCACATATGACTCCGTTTTTGGTGAAATTCATTTATTGTTTTGACTATGTTTCTTTCGATTATTTATGCGATTCTGTATAATTTATTTTATTTTAATCACTGATTACATAATGCGTATTTTCAATGTTTAACTATTAATGCAATTGAGAAAGTCTTAGTAAGGATCAAAACTAGTTTTGTGACGTTTTATACTGGAAAATTAATTAATAAAATAATTTTTATATTGTTCGTCTTTAGCCGCTTATTCTTATTAATTATTGTATTTACAACAACGAGCGAAAATTATTAAGAATTTTAAAGAATTTATTTTCGTAATTTCAAGCGATAAGCTAAATTCTTTAATTTGCTTATATATGTAGCTATTTCTGTATCTTTATCGTATACGAGTCTATAGAAGCTCTGCAACAAATTACACTTCTGTTTGTTTCTTTTAATTGTAATCTTCATCCATATATATCGTAAGTTATTTTATAGTTCAACAAGTGTAGTAATATGGTACATAGCCTCTCTTATTCACAGTTGTTATTATAGCTTTCTGCTAGCTGTCGCGTCATCCTTTCTGTCAGTGCGTTCATTTTCCGGTTTATTCACAGTCATCACTTCATAAAGATTGTTAGCACGTTGTGTAATAATCTTGGATATAGAAAAAGCATGTAAGGATAAACAGACGGAAACTGGTGATGGCTGCAGTATATGCAAGAAAACAAATCACACTAAAGCTTGTTATTTTAGAAAGAATAAAAATTAAAAATATGATAGTGAAGATAAAGTGTCTTTTCGAGCTTCAAAGTTAGAAGAAGGAGATATATGGATAGTTGACTCGTGAAGTTCAACGAACATGACAAGCAAGTATGAAAATATAAAGAATAATAAAAAGATTAATATGAAGATTGGAGTAGCGAAGGCTAATGAGTCCACGACTGCAAGAGAATCGAGTACGCTGGAGTTCAGGAATATTATAGTAACTTGAAAGAAGTTGTTCATATTCCTGAGTTGAGCACAAATCTTCTTTCGGTACGGATCATAACAGACAGCGGTGGTAAAGTTTTATTTACTGATAAAGAAGTAAAAATAACTTATAACAATAAAACAATAATAAAAGATAAAAAACTCAAGAACAGAATAAAAATTCTTTTTTGTTTTTCTGAAAAAATTTGTGATCTTACTAAAGATACATGAAACAGAATTGTAGCACAATAGGATATACAGAATATGAAAGTATAAAAATTCTCATAAAGATCAAATTAGCAGCAGTATAGATATACCTGTATCGCGAATAAATAAAATGGATAAAATATGCAAAATTTGCATGGAAGCAAAGCAAACAAGATCGAAGTTCAACATTTCAAGAGTGAGAGCGAAGAAGCCACTACAGCTGATTCATACGAATGTGGTCCGATAAATCCCAAGACTTAGGATAAAAATAAATATTTTATCACACTGTTGGATGACTACACGCATTATACTATAGTGTATCTACTCAAAACAAAGAATGAAGCGGTTGCTAAAATTAAAGAATATATATACAGGGTGAAAACTGAATGGAACACAAAAATTGCAAAGTTAAACGGCGGAACACGCACTGATACGTACACGCGGTATTAATTAGACATTGTATTATTAAATGACGATTTATGATAGTCAAGATTGTAG